GTGAACACAGCTATCCCACACTTCCCAGCCTTTCTTAGAGTTAAATGTGGCCGTGGAACTGAGTTTCAAAAGCAGCATGTGGGTAGGAAAATGCACATCGCCAGCCTGGCCCATTCAAGTCTCCTACCTGCCTCTCTTAAGCAACCCATGGGCTGAATAGAAAGGACTTTGAGAAACTAGGGTAAGTACAGCCACAGGAGGAAAATTACAGGACCTAAAAGAAATCACACATGGAAATCACATTCATGTGTTGGACTTTTGGGTCAGCAAAAAATAAAAGCTTTTATTGTGTGTAAGCCAACAATAAATAGATTTATAATAATAGTATTATTGGGCTATTGGCAAATTAATTAAGGTTAAAAAGATTTGCAATGATAAATACGATCATCCAGCACAGAACTTTAAAGAATTTCACTCAATATGTGTTATTAATGGTAGTGAAAGAGTTCTTGAAACTGAAAGAGAAAATAACATGTGCTTGATGATGGGCCAATACCTTGACTGGTAATATCACAACTTCCATTGAATTGTGCAAGCTGGCCCAAAGGTATAAGTTTCAGATTATTCAATTAATACATTCTTGAGATAAATTTAGATCCTAGTGACTACAGTTAACAGTACTGTACATGAAATGTGCTAAGGAGCAGATCACAAGAGTTTTCACCACACACTCAAAAATGGTAACTTCGTGGTGGCAGGATGTGTGAAGTGATGGACATGATAACTATGTAGCTTTGATTGTGGTGATCATTTCACAGTGTATATGTATATCAAAACATCAGCATATACCTTAAATATACAAATTTAATTTGTCAATTATACTTCAATAAAGCTGAGAAATAAATTGTTTGAAGTCATTTTTCTAGTCGAAGTAAATTAGAATACCTGACAGTTGAAAACTTTGAAACTGTCAAGGTATGTGTTAGACCCTAGATGTGTCTACCATTCTGCTCAGCCAAATGAGTTGTAAACCAGGCAGGTGAGGAAGCTCAAGGAAGCCTGGGCAGCCAGTCACAAAGAAATCAGGAGAAAGGAGGAATGTTTGCAATGTGGAGAACCCAGTCGCCACCATCACGGGGTACAAGGAAAAAAGGTAAGACTAGAACAACCCCAGGGACTGAATAACAAGTCCCAGTGCTGTAAATATGGATAGGGTGGTCTGGGCGGGAAGTAAGAGCTTTCCCACCACAGGAGGTGTACCAGCAAATGATGGATGATATGGGAGAAGATTAATTGATGTTGAAAGAGTGACCAGTGATATTTAAGACTGATTATGCTGAGATTCACTAACAGAAAAAAAGAATATAATACGTAGCCTGTTCATAGTCTCCTGGGCCTTCCTAAGAATACCTCTTGCCTGAATTGTCACCCGACTCTAAATACTTTATCTGCCCTAGCTGACCTCCCATTAGCACACCCAGAGTATGTCCACTCAAGCATGGACTCTGCTCAAGTGTGTATCTCCTCTGTCTAGATCCATCTTTCTACTAATCTCTGAGTTTCTCCTGAAGTTCTCTGTATAGACTCATATTTGGCTGAAAAGTAATAGCCGACATCTTCACCACAATGGTTTTAATCAATTAGAATGTTTATATCCTACCTATCCCCTAAGATATCAGAAGATGGTTGCTTGCATTAGGTCCGTAATGCCTCTGTGATGTCAGAGATGCTATGTGTCTCAATCTCTTGACTCTTCTTATTGTGTGGCTGCTTCGGCTCCAACTAAAGAAACTAAAAGTAAAAAAGAGAGAGAGAGAGAAGACAGAGAAAAGAAAGAGTAAAGAAAACACAGGGAAGGGATAGCAATATGCGATATTTACATCTTTTCATTGACCGAGACTTCATTCGGGGGCCTCCTCCAGCTGAGATGGTGGCTGAAAATCTAATGTATAACTTTGTATATGCATTCTAAAGTACAGGAAAGGAGAAAGGGGATTGGATCCAGGTACTGGAGTGAACCAACCTATGGTCTGCTTCACCCCACTCTGATGTCACCATCCTCCAGCAGTAATACTGTCCCGAGAATTAAAATGAAGCAGAACACAAATAAAAGCATACCAGATTGAAAAGGAGTCCCCCCAGTGTGACTGTGGAAGGCCAGCACTACATGAATCAAGGAAGTACCAAATGAGTCATATTTAAAGATGAGCAAAATATGGTAGCTTTCACAGCAGAGGAAGGCTAGACTTGGAAGACAAAATTTTTCAGCCAAGCAAAGATGGGTGAGCCTCAGTATATCAGTGATGTCAAGGAAATGCAGATCCACATGGCAATTGGGTGCTAGAATGGCAGAAGAAGCCAAGGATGGCTATGGCCTCAGAAAGTACTGATGGAGTGATGAAAACTAGAAAAAGGACCTGTCCATGGAATGCTATGAATGGCAAGCTAAGGAATTTTTAATTGTTTCCAATAAATAAACCCAACATTCCAGCAACCTCATCTCTGATCACTCCTACATATTCACCTCTAAATTTGATAACATGACTATTTTCAGACCAGACATGGTATGTCTGCCCATGAAGTGGTGCCTTCAGGTATTACCTTCTACCATGACTCTCGTATCTTACCTAAACTTTCAAGAAACAGCTCAAACCAATGTTTATACTCTAAATGATTTTCTCAACCCCATCCTAATCCCCAGCCTCACCCAACCATGAATTCAATGCTCATTTTTCCATACTCCGACTCCATATTCCTATTGTGTAAGATTATTGACGTCCTCCATGTAATTCTGCAGCTAATACAGGTCCTCTCCTTCTAGAGTATATGAATAAGGACTTGCACTTGGTGTAGATTGACTTCTTTATTTCTAGCATCTAATATAGTACTTTGAATGAATAAATGGTGAAGAAAGTTTAATCAAAAGGAACAACAACACAGCAGGCAAGCCATTCAGAGTATTTTCTGGCTTTCTCTGAGAAGCTGATGATACAATGGCTGCATTACATCAGATATGGTAGGGTAATACTTTTGAAGTCTCTGTTTGCTGTTCCTGTGGGCATGATGTACTTTCACTAAGGTCTTAAAACACTTTATAAATATAATTGTTTTTTGGTAGCACTGGCAATGAAGAGTGTATTGTACTTACTTGAATAACTTTTAAATTTTCACAAAGATTTTAAAAAATACCCTGCTAGGCTATGCTCTTTATTACTTTAGCCAATGGTTTGAATGCCCACACTATGGGCCAGAGTCTGTGCTGAATGTCAAGGGCCTCAATGATGAAGTAAAAAAAGTAGACGCCTGACCCTACCTCAATGAGCCCATTTCTCAGCTGGGTAAAAAGAGCTTGCTCAGGATTATCAGAATAAGGAAAAACAGATTTAGCAGGAGACATCTGAGATGACTTGCTCCCCCTACAGAACAGACATTATGAACAATTCAGTTTCTTCTCTCAGTGATAGAATAGTGTATGTATGCAGCCATGGAAAATATAAGGACCCCCAGAAGAGACAATGGCTTGCCTACCCCTAATTT